TAAATTAAGTTACCATAATGGGTTTAGGGTTTAGGGTTACCATAATGGGTATATATAGAAAATAATAGGGTTTCCCCAATATGGTAACTTAATTTAAGTTCCTTAACAGCAACCCAGCATATCCCTTGGGGTTTCTAGGGCAATCGAAGTGCCCACCGTGATTTTCAGATCTCGTCAATTTGCAGCGTGCGGCTGACACATGCCTTGAACACAATGGAAAAGTCAGTCAGTTCTATCCCAGCAAACACTGAGTTTGTAGAAGGGTTGGGCCTTGAAATGGTAAGAAATTTCGAGATTCAAATGGAAAAGAAGATGGAGATGGAAACCGAGGTTATGTAGGGGCTCAGTCACTACCAACATCATTGCCATATTGCCCTTGTACAGCTACAGTATAGTTTTTAGTTTACCCGAAAAGCATAGACCCCCTAAGGCCCTCAGGGAACCCAGCGCTTTCTTTCTCAGAGGGTCTGTTTTATCTGGGCTTCCCTTTGGGATCCACCTGGCGAACCATCTGCCTCGGCGCCCCGGGGCTTTGCAACCAGCCCCAGCATTCAGCCCAGCGATCCGTGTAGGCATAAGAGGGTTTATATGGGGTTCAGGGTTTAGGGGTTTATATGGGCTATAGTCAAAACTCCTAGTATCCCCCTTAATAACCCCTATGGTAGTACCCTATTTAATCCCCTACATAACTCTCTTTAAGGAGTTTAGACAATGGCTCATATAGGGTTTAGGGTGAGAGGCTCCAGTCAGCTGAATAGCTGTCCTAACCAGAAACTACGCTACACCAACATGGACCCCGAAAGAGCTCTGGTAAAGACGACTTGCCTTTGAAAAGGTGAGCTTTATGGGGCTCCACGTCCGCTTGTGGGAGGATACGCCCTAAACCCCCAAACCCTATGCATTCTGTGTAGCCCTACTGTTGCCCGTCTACAGAATCCCCATAACGCCCCTTAAAAGGGGGGTCCATGTTCGTTTGGGGGTGGGTAACGAGCAAAGAAGTATCCAAAGTTGCTGCATAAGACCTCACTAACACCAAGGAGCACATCAGGTGACCACCCAAGCAGCACTTCAAAGAAAGGGGCTTAGGGCTTAGGGTCTAGAATTTTGGGTTCAAGGTCTAGACTTGGTTTAGGGTGCCGGGTTTGGGGTTTACGTTTTGGGGCTTGGGATTTAGGGTCAAGGCGCCGGAACCCTAAACTCTAAACTAGAGTCACGCTTGAGGGCTTGCAAATTTCATGGCTGATGGCAGACGAGTCAGCACTGCCGTTCCGCCGAAGAAGTCCCACAGACACATGGGGGGTTTCCCAAAATTAGGGGTACCTTTTTGGGGTACACTAAATATTAGGTGCCGTATTAATAATAGGGATCCAAAAAGGGGCCATAATGTTGACAACTACCCACATGTGCAGAAGGCGTCCACAAATCTTGCATGACCTTGAATGTGTCTCCTTCCATCCTGAACCCTAAATGAGCTGTAGTCTAAACTCCTAGTATCCCCCTTTCTATCCCCTGTAGTAGTCCCCTATATAATCCCCTATATAACTCCCCCCAAAGGAGTTTAGACTATAGCTCAAATACTCTAAACCGGAAGCCCTTCACGCTCTGCGTGGGTTTCCATAAACATGGGTTACTTTTTTGAGGGTCCCATAATAAGGATTGCAACGGGTATATTCTCTTATATTACGGGCCCATTGGAAACCAATCATCTCAAACTAATCTTAGATACCCCTAACCACCTAATCCGAAATATTCCCCAATAAGAAACACTACGGGTGAGTTTTTGGAAGCTATACCCCAACCCCTAAAAATACCTGTTCTCTCAAAAAAACCTTTGCATTGGAAGCCCTAGTTCATATTGAGGGGCGGAGGTGTGTTTCGCATTAGTGCAGGGGGAGAACCATGTCCCCGAAGATCCCAAAGCCCAAACATTAGATCTGAACCCTTTAGGTTTGACTCCTAAACCACAAGCCCTGAATCCTAAACCCCAAGCCCTAAATCCCAAACCAGAAGGCCTAAATCCTCAACCCTAAACCCTGAATCTTAAACCCTGAACCCTAAAACCCCCCTCACCTGAGAAAAAGTCAGACGCAGCACGCGGCTGATACGGCTCAGGCGGGCCAGCCTCCCAGTGGCCGGGTAAGGGTTTCGGGGTTTAGGGGTTAGGGTTAAGTTGTGATGTGGCCGGATGGACTAGGTTTTGGGTTCCATGGTTTAGAAATTTGTTTAGGGTTTATGGTTTAGAACGGATGAGATTCGGATTGGGATAGGGGCCCATTTGCTCTCTCCCTTCTAAGCACCACATTGCCATTGTCATTACAACCGTTCCTTGCAATATGGTTGTGTAAAACTTATCGGAAACCCTAAACCCTAACGGGTCTATGCTGGTCCCCTTATTTTGGGAAACCATTTTCAAAACATCACTCGAAGAAGGTTGCGTTAAGGCGTTTTGTGGCCTAGTTGCCCAGTTGCCTGTACGGTCGCTGGCCGGCAAGATTTTGACCGTAATATGCCCAAACTCACAGAATCCCTATGCTCTCCCCGAAACCCTGGCGTTTTGAGTATACGTTTTAGGGGTTGACCTTCAATCCTAGTCCCCAAGCCCGACTTCCTAAACCCTGATGAACAAACACTCCTTCCCAAATCCCAAAACCCCACCTTAATCCTGGATGTCCTACCTTCTTGGGGGAACGTACTTTATAAAAGAGTTGGGCGCAACCCAAAAGAGGGAAAGGCGTGCTACAGGTACACCCTCACACACCCAACCCTAATCCCTAAACCCTAGACCGATACCCTAGACCCTGATCCCTACCTAGACCCCCCAAGTACCCTCTATAGACCCTAAGTATCCCCAAATAGAAGCTACATAGACCCTATTTTAGGGTACTTGGGGGGTCTATAGGTAAGCCCTAAACTTCAGAGAAAGATGCTTCCAGGGCCTTACCACGCGGACGAGGGCATAGGCTTGGCCGAGATTCACTGAATTCGCGATCCAGAGGGCCTTAGGGTTTGGGGTCTAGGGTTTAGGGCTTAGGGTTTGGCGTGCAGAGTGTAGGGTGTCGGGTTTTGGGTTTAGGGAGATTATACGGGGCTTCTCCAAATGGCTGACCCTTATTTGGTACTCCGGGAGGTATATGGGTGCTGCAAAAGGGATGTAGGTCCCTCCCTATTAAAGATGACGTAGAGGTTACGACTTCAGGAAATTCCATCTCCTTCAGGATCATGACTTTAACCCTAAACTCAAAACCCTTGCTTCGAGCAAGTTGTTTGCCGACTGTATGGGCCATTTGTTACAATCGGACTTGGGATATAGAGTTATACAATGCTTAACTATTCGGGCTTCTACAGTCAGGGTTGAGGTTGAGGTTTAGGGGTGTCGGTTTCAAGTCATCCTGTTAGCTTCATTAAGCTATGGCCCTGTTTCTCAGAAAGCCCTCAGGTGCTGTTAGTGTAGAGTATGCACTGCAGATCCAGCAGGGATGCTATCATGGAAGTTCCTTCGGCTCAGATTTTGGGGTCTCAAGTTCCGGGTTTGGGGTCAAAGACATCCCATATGCTTAGAGCCGTTGGGTTTGTCTCATGGCATACAAAAGACCTATTCAATGCAACAGCATCCTACCAAGGGCAATGGAATTCTTTGTGAATCTTCTCACGCTTCTGTGAGACAGCCTTGCTACACTACCTTAAGCGTTAAACCCTAAAGCCTAAACTTCATTGGGAAGAATCGTGGGAGTGATGGAGCCAAAACAACACAGATGCAGGACCGTGCTGAGCCCGTTAGGATCTTACCACCCGCCGCCCCAACGCCCCTGGCCCTCAAAATCAGGTCAGCCGTTTACTGGGTTGCTGTTAAGGAACTTAAATTAAGTTACTATATTGGGGAAATCCTATTATTTACTAGATATATATACCCATTATGGTAACTTAATTTAAGTTCCTTAACAGCAACCCAGTAGGTCCTAACTCCCCCAAGTCCTAGCAGCGCCCCAGGTGTCTGCGGGCGATGGTCCCCGGAGATGCAGTGCCAGGCTGGCGCATGACGTGTCCATGTGAGCTGTAGTCTAAACTCCTTTAAGGGCTATATATAGGGGATTATATAGAGGAGTATTACAGGGGTTATTAAGGGGGATACTAGAAGTTTAGACTATAGCTCATGTGTTTCACAATTCTAGGTTTAGATCTGGGGTTCAGGGTTTAGGCTTCACGGTTCAGGCGTTAGGGTTTTACATTGAGACCCAACCCTGGGCCCTAAACAGTATGGGGCTTATGGGGGTTACACAGGCATTTTGTCGGAGGCACGGCCGATACCCAAGAGAGTTTGCCGATACTTTGCTTGCAGAAAAGCATGCAATTGCTCTTGGCATCGCAAAAGGGGACCCCATGTGGGCGGTTACAGGGATCTAGTCCATCATCCCCAGTCGAGTCCTTGGAGGCGTGTTGGCTGCGGTGTTGGCACCTTCCCCCCAAAAACTAACACCAAAACTCCAAGCCCTACAGAAGTCCATGAACTTTGTTTTAATTGGGGGTCAGAAGTTGCCTGAGGCGTATCGGAGGTCTTGGTCAAGTCGCCTGAGGGCATGCTTCGTTTGTCAGTGCCAGCTGCAGCGGTCCCTGGCGACACCCTTCTCTTCAGCAAAGGTCTAAAACAGGAGTGGACTTATGGTTTAGGGTGGGTGGGGGAAACCCAAGCTGAGCCAGGCAATATCCTAGATTTTCTTTTCATTGCCAAGATAACACGAAGACAGGAGTGGACATGCCAGATACAGAGGCAGCATTGGGACCTCAGGGCACCGCCGCCCGTAGCTCCCGAGGAAGACGTCCGGAGACATGTTGTTCTCCAGCAAGCTCTCTGGGCCAACTCAGGGTATTGGAGCTCAAAGATTCAACGGGCAAGCTTGAACATGCTGGATGTTGCTGGAGTTGTTGCAACAGAAGCAATTGCTGAGGGAGAACTTCTGGTGAGGTGTCCCAGTACACATTTTCTGTCTCCGGGCTTGGTTCGACAGCTGGAGCCAGAGTTTGCTACTTTGGCTGCCGTAGTTGGACGGGAGGCCCCTGTGGACAATCAGGATATCGATGTCTTCTTAGTTGCTATGTTCCTGGCTGACTGGCTGGCAAAGTGCACACAGGAAGTTCCCCTTACAGGCTTGGATGGTGCGAGGGGAAGCATCTTAAGTTCCTTTGCCAAAGTGCTGCAATGTGAGACCTTTACAGCGCATCCTTACAGGCTGGCGGCTACTGATCCAGTCCGTTTTCGAAGCAGCCTCAACCCATCTTGTGAGGCAGACTTGATCGAACGCTTAGCCTGGGGAGTGATGGAGAGATATCGCATTCTTTCTTCGCACAAGACCCCTGGGTACTCTGCAGAGGATTTTCTTCGAGCATGGCTCTTGGTTATCACACGGGCCTTTGAGGTCGGTGGTGCAAGGTCTACACTGATACCAGGCCTGGACTCCTTCAACCACGATCCCAGCAAGCAGTGTGCCAAGGTACCTTACTGGTGGTTAGTATAAGAGATGGAGGCATGGATCCTATACAATACTCAATACACCCGCCGACCATCACTTAGAACTAACAAATCGTTAGTCGCGCCAATGTCTTCAGAAACACTTAGAAACTTTTCGCCGCACAAGAAAACAGCACTCAGAACAAACAAATCGAAAAAGAAAACAACTTAGGAACAAAGATCGTGGTAATGCAAAATTAGTGCTCCAGTTGGGGTCTTGGAGGTCGATTTGGTATCTATGTGCACTTTTGGGCTTTGTTTGGGATCTATTTTCACCGTTTGGGGCGGGGGCTGTTTTGGCTCTCAGAGTCTGGGAGGTGCAATATTGTGGGTATTTCTATTGTTCCAAGTAGCGGTTATAGGGATTATACAGGGGTTATATAGGGGTTATAAAGGGGTTATATAGGGATTATCTAGGGGTCATATCGGGATAATGGAAAAGAAAATGGAAACTACTATTTGGGGTTTAGGGTTTCCCAGAATTATGGGTACCACATATGTAATTTGTATTCTTCCCGGTGCACGTTTTCACCAACCGGACCTCAAATGTAGCCGGGATCTTAAATAGACCCCAAATACGGCCCAAATACTGGCAATATTGCCCAAATAGATATTTTCTCGATTTCGTTAGATTTTTGATGGAAGTTTCATTGCATTGCACATCGATTCCAATTGATATTAGTTGGTTTGTAATTCGATGTCAACTGATTGTAGATGGATTTAAATTCGGTTCCAATGGTTGTAATTGGTTTAAATTCGATTTCAACTTTACTGGATTTTAATTCGATCTCAACTGATCTTAGATGGAATTTTGATGGGTTCAAATTTGATTTACATTTGACTTCAAGTAATTTTAATCGGATTTTCATTGGATTTCACCTGATGTTAGATGGAATTTCAGTTAGATTTCAATTGTTTTAAAACGGATTTAGATTTGATTTCAATTACTGTCGTGTTTTTTCAACTGGTTTTAGCTAGCTTTTAGTTCGGTTTCAATCAATTTTTCGATTTCAATTCGTGTCTCATTAGATTTCAATAGAAAGGAGTTCAAAAGAGCTTTAAACTGGCCTTTAGAGGCAGCCTCCTTATGTTAAGCAATTGTTCGTGTCCCGGATTGTTGTATATTACTAGGTGGGGAGACGTCACTTAATATTAGGGGAAGCAACTAGGGAAAACAGACCCCACCTAGAGCCCAAAACGTGAACGTAGATGCCAAATGGATCCCCAAGATCCCAACTGGAGCATAAATTTTGCATTACCACGATTTTTTTATTCTAATTAGTTTTCTTTTTCGAATTTTTCCAGTCTCTAAGTGGTTTTCTTTTTTTGTCATTTTTTTCTAAGTGTTTTTCTTTTTCAATTTTTGGATGTTTGTATTCTTAAAAAAATGGCACAGGGTCGTGGGCAGTTTATTCTAAGTGACGGTCGGCGAGAGTAATGTGATCCCTAGTAATGACATAGATCCCAATCCTTTATTTCAGTTTAAATCTATTGATCACTAGACTAGTAAGGTACGGCTGGACAGCTCCGGTGATATGTGCCTGGAAGCAACGCGCAGTATCGAGCCGGGTGAGCAGGTCTTCCTGGAGTATTTCGCTTACTGTTGGAAACAAGTTTGGCGTTGAAAGAATGCCATGGTTGATATTCAAAATCCTGCGTGACCTAGGTAAGTATCAACAGTATCAGTAGGACCTCAGTAGGAACCCACACACAAACAGAATAATGCTTTGCTTATCTTGAATTAGGTGCCCCCCCACCCAACAATGGCGGACAGCGCAGCAATGGTCTAAGACCCGAACAACCCGGGGTTCTTCTCAGCTACAACATTGATCTACTACATCAAAACCCCAACTAGTATGATAGTTTCCATTGTCTTGTTTTTTTTCCGGGATCTACTCTACATCCGAAGCCTAACTTGTATGATTGTTCTTTTTCTGGCAGGTATGGCGAGCTCTCTAACCCAATGCTCTTTCGTACCTATGGTTTCACCATGCCGCCTGAGGCCAAACATGCAAATTAGCAGGTTCTTTAGGGCTTAGACTGTAGGGTTTGCGTCAAAGTTTTGGGATCTTTTGTGGGAGCCTGAAGATGGGGACATATGAGCTGTAGTTTAACTCCTTAAAGGAGGGTTATATTGGGGAATATAATATATAGGGGACTATCATAGTGGCTATTGAGGGGGATACTAGAAGTTTAGATTATGGCTCATGTGAGGGCTTTGTTTTCCGCGCTTTGGGTAAGCAATTCAGAATCTCTTCCTTGAGGCCCTTCCTGTCCAGAGCTGCCTGATCCTTCCGAACCGCGTCCTGCGAGTGCCTCGGAGCATTGCAGAGCCGAAATGGCCCAGGAAGATTTCTGATTTTCTTGTAAAAGGTTTACATGGCGTTTCATGAGTGCTTGGGTCGGGTGCGCTTCTCCGCAGCGATGGAGAAGTATGGACGCCTTGGAGGGTAGTTAGTTCAGTGGCCGGATACTTGTTATGAGACGTTGCCACAGCAGAATGTCAGCATCTCGCACTTCGAACAAGAAGCATTTCCAGAAATTGGTTTCTTGGTACAAAAACCTCTCTCTTCCGCAGAGCATTTGGATAATAACGTTTCCACGTTTGGAGGCGTAAGCTCACAGAGACTGTCTGAATGAGGTCCTGTCATTTGTGATGCGTTCGGTGGTCATGTACGGACACTGATGTGACCTCCGTGATTTCTTGCGGACCATGAGCGCTCTTGACCTGTCCCCATTAAGAATCAAGGCTGGACCCAGACCGAAGGAGCCTCTTGTAATCTTGTAGCCTGTATGTATTCCTGGGGTTCATACGGGCCGCTTTGTTTTTGGAGAAGAAGCTTGCTGCAGGTGCTGAACAAGCACCTTCCGGCCAGCCATGCTGGTCGCCTATTGCAGCTGGACTCCAGCCGACTCCTGCCGGACCTTCGCGGACTGCTTCAGGCTCCCTGTTTCTCCCCTGGCGAGCAGGGAATCTGGGAATGGGTTATAGCGACGAGCAGGGGTATCTTATTACATAGGGACTAGTAAGCACCAAGCAGGTTTGTGTGTTTCAGATCGTGATTAGGGTGAGGAAGTAAGCAGTTTGCGGCTTTGGGGTATAGGGGCTTAGGACTTATGGGCATAGGTTCAGGGCTATTTGGGGGTTGTGTCGTTTGTTTTCGTGTGTAGACACACGTGGGGGCTTAGGGTTTAGGGCTTTTGAGTGATGCAGGGGTGCATGAGTCAATGCTCGGAGGGTGCATAGAAACGCAGTAGTCATAAACGACCATCCTGAGTATAGACTGCGGCGAAAGGGTGGAAAGATTCTGGGATCAGAAGCCGTAATGGCAAACTTACATGCGGCGTTTATGATCTGAATTATCGCAACCGGGCATGAATCTTCAGGGATACGTCGGTGACCTCAGGAAAAGAGATCCTTACTCGCCACTTGCCAGTCCATCTAAACATTTTTGTGTCTCAGCAGCTTGCCCACAATTCTAAGGAACGCGTGCATTTATGTGGGGAGGAGTAAGCGTTCGCGAGGAGTTCACTGCTTATGTTATGCTTGTTCTCTGTGTGACTACTCTCATGACTAAGGATTTGGGGGGTTCAGGGTTGACGATTTCGGACGCAGTTGCAGTCATCAAGGGAGTGGGCAAAGGTACCAGCTAGTAGTACAAGTTCCGACGCAAGACTTTTTTGTAGGAGTCCTCCCTGTGCTCGTAAAGATCTCTAGCACGTGAACCGCAGAGTGGTTTAATGGGAGACCTTTTGTCCATCTGCGGCGGCCCAGCTTTAGGGTTTAGGGAGAAGGCTATGGGGCCAAACAAGCAAGGTTGCGAACGGGCTATCTTAGTTATTCCAAACGACACTGACTCTCGCTAGTCCGCGATGCTATGTTAGCTACGTGAGGTTTACCACAATGCACCCTAAGAGTTGTGTTTTTGTTGTTAAAGCACTATTCCTCCTCCTCCTCCTCCTACTACTACTACTACTACTACGACGTTTCTTACTATTGTTTTTGGGTTTGATTTTGAATTTTCAGGCTTGTGCCAGCCTGGGGAGTGGTCAGCCTGCCGAATTTCTTCGAGAGCTCTTAGATTGCCGCCTTGAAGCTTGTCCGGAGATCTCTATGGGTCATCCTTGATCAGGATTGCGTAGCCGTGATAAATTCTTGAGCAGCATTTCATTTATCAAATATAAGTATAAGGGAAATGTATTTTCAATTCTGGACTTCATTACAGAAGGATGTGTACAATCTCTATTTAGTTATATAAGTTGAACTCGCAAGGGAATATAAGAGCACTACGATGCCAGATAGGGATCCCAATGGTTTTGACGCAAATTACGGTGGTTAATGCATGTTTTACTAGAATTGGTAGAATGATAGAAGTAAGCCCCCAAAAAACAAATTCTAAGATAGCAGATAAATGCTTGCATAATCGCATCTTGTTTTTTGAAAGAGGATTGTTAGTTATAGTTGTTTTTCATATCATCCGTACAGGATTCTTATTACCAGGTTTGTACGGCATAGCTTTTAGCCTTCATATCAAGGATTCTTTGAGATGTCATTGCTGCGGTGTATACATAACCCTTTTTGCTTGGAACCCCTATGGAACGTGGTACGCATGAGCATTTGGGGGTGCAACAAAACATATTTGTATGGTGCCCTGAATCCCTTCTCGATCTTTACAGTTATCCTCTTGGAAGCATTATAGAGAATGAGGCACTTGTGTTTGGCCTTTAAACATATGCTTGTTAGAAGGATGGACGAGATAACCTGAGATAAAGGTCCCACTATAGAACTTCCTTGAACATTGAAATGACATATCGAATGCTACTTAGGAACGCTTGTCATAAGTTTGCATCATCACTCTATTGTATGAGCTTATTGAAAACAGTTGTAGTATGAGATCTTGAAAAAGTTTAGCATGTACGCCTGCTAATGACACCCAACAAGATTCTTCATGGAGTTCATCATCAACGTTCAGGTCGCTCTTTATTTCTTGCGTCCATTCAGTGATGTTCTTTACTGAATAATATTCGAAAGATTTCTCAGTTGAACGCCGAATTATCATTGCTAAGTGGAACAAGGCACTTTCTAGTCGTTATATATACATATATTAAAGAGAGATCCCAAAAGAGAGGGATAGATTAAATGCTAGGAAGGGTAGGATTCTGTAGTATTTCGTAGGGATGCTTGAAGGGAAGGCGGCCAGGTGGCTCTGGGGAGCATGGGGGGATGGGGGGGGCAATTAAACAAGAAGAACGAAGAAATTGCCTTTGTCTAGACGGCATTTTTTTTGCACCCCCCCCCCTCCCCCCCTCACCTACCCCTAGCCGCAGCCCGCCCTTCAAAGAATCCTACGATAAACGGTCGAAACCTAAATTTTCTACCATTTAGCCTATACCAGTTTTCAAAGCATTAGAATGCTACTGACCTTTCTTATCTATATGTCTTAGATTGCTAAACTAAAGTCACAGGAGAGATTTACATCTTTCCTGTCAATAATAGCATGATATTTTGTGTGTAGCAACTATATGTGTTATTTCGTACTGTTTTACCACTACCACAAAACTGAGGCCACAAGAGCGCGCCTTTCTGTAGGTTTAGGTGATGTGGTGCATGTTTCACAAGATTGAGAACTGCCCGTTCTTCGGCCCCATCAAGACTTTTGACGTCGCCCTGTAAGGAATGCTATCATTGCCACGACAGCCAGGAGTTGCAGGACGCACCGGTGCATGACATTGCGCACAAATGTAAGTTTGCCAGTGAATTTCAAAGCATCTACAATCAGCTTTTCGCGAACGAAAAAATGTTCGTGCAATATGGTACCCCCGTTTTTCGGAGCGGATAAAGATTCAGGCAGGGTTTCCTAATCAAGTGTTGGTATTAGGGTTCAGGATACAGGACGGTTCCCCATTACATTCCCATGGAAATGAGGGTCCTTGATGTTGAATAGGGCACAACTGCACATCTTTGTCCCGCATGTTTCGATATGGGCAATATTAGATGATTCTTCAGTAGCCCAGATAGTTCATCAAATTCAATCAATTTGCACAATCACCCTGCAGGAAGCCGGATGCTCTGAGGATGAGCTTCGTGTGAAAGACAGCGCCATTGCTTCAACGTGAGCAACATTGTAAAGTTAGTTTGCCATGTGTGTTGGATACCCGAAAGGCTTCCGTTAGTTTTGAGAACAACCCAGTTGATGTCTCCAAGTGTGCAGGGCTGCAGGGCATAATTGGAAGATTGAGCGGTTGAGATCATAATAGAGGCTCCTTATGCACAGTAATGTGCTGATGGGATTCTTCACAGCAAGCATTTTGCTTGTGTGCGATGTTTTGGGAGGCCCTGCTTGCGAGAATACCCTGGATGCAAGTTTTCTTGGACACTGCATGTTTGAGATCTTTCTTAGCAAATTCAAGCCGTTGGGTTGATCTCAAAGTATATGGCGCAAAGCTGGGGGCCGAAATTTGGAAATTTCCCGTCGGGTACTTGCTTCTTTTCTGACACTCTGCCCTAAACTCGAAGCTCTCGACCCTAGCTCTGAACCCCAGCCTAAAGGCCAAACCTTATGAGCTCTGAATCCTTTACCCGAATGGCGGGATGCGAAGATGGCTCTCAAACACCAACACAAACAGGTGCATGTGGGGATACTATGGTACCCAATATAGAGTAATATTATATCCTCCTTTAGGGTACAGTATTATTTAAGGAATATTATCTTGCTAGGTCCAACCACAAAAAAAACACTACTCAGGTGAGTTCCGCTGTTTGCGGAGCCATTTGGATGCATTGGCCGATCCAAGCAGCAGCCTGGGAAGCGAGCTCAAAGATGCGCTGAAAGTGAAAAGGGTTGAGGGCCGAGGGTTTAATTGTCTTCCGAGGTTGCTCTTGCGCTTTTGCAGTTCATTTCATCCCATCTCCATATTGGGAACGTGGAAGTTTCGCCATGTATCTTTCCAAATGGCCTGACATTCCCAATGTGCTAGTATACAGACTTTTCTTGCTTTTACTTTGAAAAGCGCGCAAAGGAGTTCCAGTATGCGGACTGCAGGTTCCCCACCATTAAGCCCACAACCCCTACGTAATCCTCTCTTCACTGCTTGTTTGTGTTTCTCGTTGATGCTTCCATGAGATGGCTTCGCGGGGAGCCAAAGCGCTTTGACCCTTCAACCTTCTTCACAACCCCTCGACAAATTCCCGGTGCCTACCCCCTAAGTTTCTGATCCCCTTAACCCTTGATCCTGCAACTTTCCGTAATCCTAAACCGCTGACCCCTAAACCTTCATCCCTACACCCTGGACGTTGATTCTTTTCACTACTTAAACGCCAAAGCTTCCGACATCCATCAGCCCCCAACCCCCTTACCCCCAACAATCCCTAAGTCCTAAACCCTAAAATCCCTAAACCCTAAACCCTTAACCCTCAAATCCCTAAACCCTAAACCCCCTTAACCCCCCTGCAACCTTCAAGCTGCTGTAGACAGCCATGGCAGGATGGAGCCGGCAGGGATTGGTGGGAAGGAGCCAGCTTTGTAGGATCCTTCAGGCCCTGAGTTGGAGAGGAGTTTTTGGGGGGTTTGGGGGGGGTTTGAGGGTTTGAGGGTTTAGGATTTAGGGTAGGGGTTTGGGGGGGGGTTTGAGGGTTTGAGGGTTT